TCTTCTTCTTCTTCTTCTTCTTCTTCTTCTTCTTCTTCTTCTTCTTCCCTTCTTTCTTTCCTTCTCCCTTCTTCTTTCTTCATCTGCCATATCTGGACGTTGGCAATCCTATTTTTATCAACAACCACATGAAAATGTACTGCTGAGTTTTGTCCAAACTTAGATTTTGAAGCCATGATGTTCTTCTTCTGCCTGGACCTATCATTATGATAACAAATTATGATAACAATTGAGCCCAAAATTTCTGCTGCTAAGCAAAACATTTGTTAAGTGAATTTTGCCCTATTTTCTGACTTTTCTTGCTACCGTTGTTAAGTGAATCACTGCACTTGTGAAATTAGTAACCTGGGTGGTAAGTGAATCTGGCTTCCCCATTGACTTTGCTTGTTGAGAAGCCACAAAAGATGATCACCTGACCCTGGGGCACTGCAACCGTTGTAAATATGAGTCGCCTAAGCATCTGAATTTTGATCACATGACCATGGGGATGGTGCAACGGTCGTGAGTGTGAAAAACAGCCGTAAGTCCCTTTTTTCCGTGCCATTGTAACTTCAAATGGTCACAAAATGAACTGTTGTAAGTTGAGGATTACCTATATATGCTACCACAAGACATTACTGGAATGATGATGTGTTATTGATGCTGAATTTTTATTTCTAAGTCATTCTTCAGATTCTTTTTTTAATAGTCTCAACGTCGACTCTTTGTAGGAAACCAAAACATTATTAAGATAATTTCTCCCTAAAAGACCAATATTGTTACTGCAATTAGCATTGTTAGCATTAGAGAAGAGTCCCCCAAACTTTCTGGGTTCGCGGTCCGGAGTGGGGGAAATGAAGAAAGAAGGGATGGTTTTATGGGAACATCAGAACACCCATTGCTCACGTGGGTGGGATCATGAGTGTCTGCATGAGTTGGGCCCACTAGCACCCATGATTCTTGCATGAGTGGGCATGTCCGCATGCATGCTCTGGCCAGCTACTCACATGGCCTGGTGGCCAACAGGTTGGGGACCTTTGCATTAGAGTACCCCATGCTATATATGTTCAGTTTGGAGCAAAGACTTTGGTCTCTTCCCATGTGATATTTAAGGTCTTTAAATCATCTATGAACGTTCTTCATCATGTATTTCAAGGGCATCCTATTGGTCGTTTGGCATCATTGTCTCATTGCCATCTTGGGTATTCAATTATTCTCCACACGGAGTTTATGACCTGCAAGTTGGAATCTTCTGCATGTGAGAATGTTACGTAATTTGCAGGAGGAACTCTTTTGGAGCACTTCATTAGTAACATGATCAAAATAGCGAATCTTTAGGATTCCATGAAGGCATCTTTATTGGAAGACGTTGGGTCTCTTGTTAATACTTGCTGATACCCCCCAGGATTCACTGGCATAAATAGCTAAAAATAGCTAACTTAAATAACATAACTTTTAATATCTTTGAAATGAGCAAATGGCCAATTTTAGCATTGTTCTTGTTATTTCTCGTTATTTTGTCTTCTTATAAAGTGGAATTAACTGAACATTTTTCTCTTTCAGAACATATCCAAAATGAAGAAAGCTATGCACAAGTGCTAGATAAATTTGGAAGTAATTTCTTAAGTAGAGATAATCCAGATCTGGGAACTGCTTTTGTAAAGTTTTCCACACTAACTAAGGAATTGTCAACGTTGCTTAAAAATCTGGTAAGACACTTGTAATCTTTTTGTCCTCTAAAACATTTACAGTTATCATTATATAAGGGTTGTTATATAAGTTATATAAATGTAGGTTATATTGTTATATAAGTATTGATTGTAATAAACAACCGAACCTTTTACATTTCTGGAGAGAGCATTATATTTTAAATCCAGTTTGATGCAGCTATGGAAAAAAACATTAGGTTTATTGAGTACTAATGCAATGTTTTAAAGCACCTGGTTTAGCTTTGTGAATGACTGAAGCTATTCAGTCTATCCAGTCATTTGGAAGCATTCACCCTAAATTTGGATTTTAAAATTAACTTTCTTGTCTGGTTTTTGCAGTGGATAATTCTGGAGAAACGGTTGAAATGATTTTAAGTGAATGCATTTTTCTTCTTCAGTCTCCTCCTGTTCAGTACATTTAATAAATCTATTCAGTATTAAAATAATAAGTTTTCCATTCCTCAGAACAGAAAGCTGTAAAGCTATAAATATTGTATTTATTGTCTAAATATATATAGGAATCATTACTGCAAGGTGCACCATTCAAGTAAGCTTATTTTGAGTGATACAATAGCAATAGTTTATTTCCTTTATATTGCTTCACAGTGTTTTAACAGGTCCTCTCTAAGCTGTTTACAGAGTCAGCAACAATCTGGATCCTCATTTTACCAACTTTAGAAGGATGGAAGGCTGAGTCAACCTTGAGACGGTCAGGATTGAACTCCTGGCTGTGGGCAGAGTCAGCCTGCAATACTTCATTCTAACTACTGCGCCACTATGGCCCACCACAATATACAAACAGTAGAATGTATGTAATATCAGATCCAACATATAATCATAATTTGGACTTATGCCCTCCATCCTTCTCTTTCTCTTATTTATGCTCTATTCTTTACTTCTCCCTTGTGAATTCTAGTTTGGAAAGTTAGTATCTTGGATGTGCTGTCAAATTACAGCTGCCATAAACTGGGAAGTAATTAAGAAGTGACTAAGGTTCAATATGGAAGCATACAATAGAAAACTTATTCCTGTAAATGAATTATATTTAATTTGGGGTGTGCCTTCAAGTCAGTATAGACATTGGTGACTTCTTGGACAAGTTTAGGCAGTTTTTATAGTAATATTTTTAGGAATTGGTATTCCCCTTTTCTTCTTTCTAGGGCTAAAAATAAGTGACTGGTCCAAAGTCATCTAGTTGGCTTTGTGTTTAAGGTGGGACTGGAACTTACAGTATCCTGGGGTCTAGTCTCTAACCACAATACCATACTGGCTCTTCTTCCTCTCTAACAGCAAATATGTAGTATTTGTTATATTCTAAATGTTATATTTGAATTTGTTCCATTAATCTCCAAACTTGACAACTTTAAGACTTGTGGACTTCAACTTTCAGAATTCTCCAGCCTGCGTGAGGAATTCTGGGAGTTGAAATCCACAAGTGTTAAAGTTGCCAAGTTTGGAGACCCCCAGTGTAAAGCGAAATTCCAAGCAATTGTTTCTGTGGAGTCCTTGGTGCTCTCTGAGCTTGCAAATGTTTCATTACTCATCAAACTAACATCATCAGCGTTATTGAGTGTGGAGTTTGCTTCCTGTTAATATACAGGAGCTTGGTCTAGAAGTGTTGGTGGTGGTGTGCCTTTTTTTTGTTGTTAGTTTCTTGATTAGGCTATTGTTTTCTCCTTGATTGGTTGTCTGATATTAATCCCTACATTTCTAGGTCTTGGTTTCAGGAAAAGATGTGTTTCTGGTCTTTTTGTTGCCTTCTTAGCTTTCTTATTGCCTCTTTTGAATGTCATGTAAATGTGGTTTATCTCTATGGGTCTGTAGATGGCTGGTTTGTCTGAATGCAAAGCTTCCAGGAATCCTCTAGCATTTTGGGGTTTAGCTTAGTCTAGGCCCATCATGGCGAACCTATGGCACGTGTGCCACAGGTGGCACGCAGAGCCATTTGTGTGGGCACACGAGCCCCAGCCAAACTTACCTGCACTGCGCATGCGCGTACCTCCCAGCTGATTTTTGGCCTGTTTTGAGTTCTTTTTTGGACTCCCAGAGGCTCAAGGGAAGCCTCTGCAATGGGCCTATTTATCGGCTTCCAAAGGCTGCAGAGGCTTCCCTCGAGCCTCTGGGAGGCCGAAAAAGGCCTCAAATGGGCCAAAAATCAGCTGGGAGGTAAGCACATGCGCAGCGCAGGTAAGGGAGCAGCGGGGGGATCGCACATACATGCACAGGGGGTGGGGGCACGCACATTGCCTTCTGGGTGCTGGCATGCGAGCATGAGCGCACACACAATTTTCGGCTCAGGAGCCCAAAAAGGTTAGCCACCACTGGTCTAGGCTGTCACAGCTTCCTAGTTGAAGCTATGGTTGAATCTCTCCAAAGCTGTTTTTGGAAAGTAACCTCAATTATTCTGTCAAATCCATCAGCAACAACTTCCAAAGAGGGTCAGTCTGACAAAAGCAGCATTGCACCCTGTAACGCAAGCACCACTCATTCTAATGGAATGTGTGGATGACTTTGGGGAACAAGAGGAAGAGGTACTGCCTAGGAGACAATCAGATAAAAGAGACAAAGAGCCCTCAGTGGCTTAAAAGTCAGAGAAAGCAACTAAGGGAAGACCTCTCCTAATGCGTCCTGCAATTAAAGGCGGCATCAGGAAGTTTGCACCTTCAGACTTGCAAGATTCTGTTAATATAGTCTTACAGTAAAGTAAAATTAGTTCACTTGTGTTTCCTGTCTGGTTTACCTGGGAGCAGTGACACCCATTTTTTTAATGAGTGTTTTGATGTTGCGCATACATGCGGAAGAGGCAGCCTTTTGTTATTTTGAAGAAAGCAACCAGGAGCCTTGGACATTCATGACTATCAAATAAAGAATACCTCTTCTAGGCTCTTTCCAACAAGATGACAGTATCTTGCACGAACATTAGCTAGCAACTATTGCTATAAACTACTATCATCTTTAGGCGAAGACCTTTGGAGCCTTCCAAAATTGCTCTTCTGGCCTTTACCCCAATCCCCTGGAGGTCTTTCCCTACTCTGAAATTTAGGTTTGGCATCGTAAATTCCCAAGGCGTCAAAAGTGTTGAACGTCAATACCCAGGAGCATTGAGTTCATGGAATATGAATATATAAATCTTCAACTTATATATTTAATGCCAATGTTTCAAGAACAATTCATTCCTCACTATTCCTCCAAAGCAATGCAGGTAGTCCTCTATTTACACTTATTCCTTTAGTGAATGTTCAAAGTTACAACAACACTGTTCTGTCCTAGGCTTCCCCAAAAAGCACTAAGCAGACTCTTTCTCCCAATCGAACACCTTTTATTAAACGGATGTGAATTTCTTGCATTCATATTCAGCCAACGGCCTGGCAAACAGTCTTTCAAGGGTATAATTAGGAGCTCAAACCTTATCGATCTTGGAAAGCTGCCCGGTAAATATTTCCAAATGCAGTGCTGACAAGGAAGGGCTAAGCACAGAGTCTCTAGGATGTATTGTTTCCTGCAAAATCCCCCTCCCCTTTTGCTCCTCTTTTAATCCTGATGGGAGGGGCCGTTCATCGTCCACCTGTGGCCTTACTTACAACCCTGGGTTCATAATTGTTCTTTCCTGTTGGCAGCTCTGCGCATGCGCAGGCTGGGAACCGGTTCCAGAAGCTCCCCCGCCTCACTGCTATCCGAGCCTGAAGGCTGCTGATGCCAGCCTGCCCTGGCCCCCATCTCTGCCTCTGATGCAGAGCCCTCATCCGAGCCTTCTTCAGTCTCCAGGACTGGCCCAGGTTCCTCCCCAACCTCCTCACTGCCCGACTCCGCTGCCTGCTTCACCAGCTGCTGGTGGGCCACAACAAACACAGAAAAAAGCAACTTACAACGGATCCTCACACTTGTCAGAGCATTTCCCAGGGTCACGTGATCACAGTTTGGGCCCTTGGCAACTGGCATGTACTTACAAACAGTTGCAGTATCTTGAAGTCACGTGATCGTTCTTTGCGGCCTTCTCAATCAGCTTCCGACAAGCAAAATCAGTGAAGAAAGCTGTTTAATTTGGCCTATCGTCTCCCGGTCTTTTGGATAAATCATTTTTATAAGATGTACAGGAAATCTGCTGATAGATGAGAAATGCAGAAACATTTCACACTGGTTCCCGGGGATGGGATTTCATAGATAGGCAGTCCTCGACTTGACAATTGAGCCCCAAATTTCTGTATCTCAGTGAGACGTCTGTTAAGTGAGATTTGCCCCATTTTACGACCTTCCTTGCCACGGTGGTTAAGTGAAACACTGACGTTGTTGTGTTAGTAACCCAATTGTTAAGCGAATCTGGCTTCCCCATTCACTTTCCTGGTTGGAAGGTCACAAAAGGGGATCCCATGACCCCCAGGACATTGCAACTGTCATAAATAGGAGTCACTTGCATCTGAATTTTGATTAGATGACAACGAGGATGCTGCAAAGATCTTAACTGTGAAAAACGGTCATTTTTTTCAGTGCATAGCTGTTAGACTTATAAACCGCTTCATAATGCTTTACAGCCCTCTCTAAGCGGTTTACAGAGTCAGCATATTTTCCTCAATTTGGGGTCCTCATTTTACCCACTTCAGAAGAATAGAAGGCTGAGTCCACCTTGAGCCTGTTGAGATTCGAACTGCCAAATTTCAGGCACCCGACAGTGAGCAGAAGTAGCCTGCAGTTCTAACCACTGCGCCGCTGAGGCTCATAACTTTGAATGGTCCCTAACTGAACTGTAGTAAGTCGAGGACTACCCGTATATAACTCTTTCTTCCGCCTGGGAAACCTGAAGTTTTGTAGATCTCGTGCTGGCTGTGGAATTCTGGGAGCTGAAGTCCAGCCCATCCTGTTCTTTCCTCGTGTCTCAAAATTGCATCGGTTGGCCATCGTCCCTCAGAAAGGTTCACAATTTGACTCGAGTCTCAGCGTTCAAAGAACTTTACTTTCCTTTCTTTACAAAAGGCAAAAACCTGGGGAACCCAGAGTGGGACGGAGCCCATCGAATGGGCTTATTTGATTGATGGCTATATACCAGGGGGAACGTTATTGTTTTTAAAGGTTTGCCTGTTGGGTTTTTATTTTCATAAGCAGCCCAGGGTTACAGGAGAGCGAGTGGGCGGCCATAGAAACCCTCTTTTAAAGAAATAAATAAATATTTCGACAGAAGGAACAGTTTGCCTGTTCTTCAAGATATTCTCCTCAGTTCTGTTTTAGTTTTGAACAACTGCATGAAAAGAAGGACCTCTTCTCCCTTCGAAAGCGCTGTGAAATTCAAAAGACTTCCAGCTGCTTTAAAGAAGTAAAATCTTTTGGGAAAGCTCAACTACGATCTTCAACAATGGTTGAACTGTGTTGGCTGAACGGGTTGCTCCTTATCTGAAAACACCTTCTTGAAATCCTTTTCTTCTTGTCATGAGTTGGTGTAGCTATATGTTAACTAGGATAAACCCTGTGCTGTGCAAAGTTTGGTCAACTGTCAATAAGTAAGGAATAAGTTAAATGTCTGCTTTAGAGTGTAAATGTGTCCTAGAAATGAGGTTAATTTGGTACAGGTACGACTACAATAGAGCCCACAATTTCCAATGCTTAAGGCAGCTTTTAAATAAGTTTTTCCTCATTTTACGACCTGTTTTGCCACCTCTTTTAAGGGGAATCACTGCAGTTGTTAAGTTAGCAAAAAGATTGTTAAGTAAATCTGGCTTTCCCACTGACTTTGCTCTTTGGAAGGTCACAAAATGGGATCACGTGACATTGCAGTGGTCATAAATAGGAACCAGTTGCCATGCATCCGAATTTTGTTCTTGGGACCATGGGGATGCTGCAATAATGGTGAGAACAACAGTCATGCCTGTTGTAACTTCAAACAATCACTCAGTGAATGATTGTAATTTGAGGACTACCTGTACTTAATTGTTTTTTCAGGAAGCTGTGAGTTGGATCCTAGGTAGAAGCAGATATTTGTCTCGCTGGGCACACTGAGAATATATCTGCTGAACAACACTCTGCATTGGTGACAGGAAGGGCATCTGGCCATTAAAACACTGTGCTAGCTCTATTCAGTTGCCCAGACTTCACACTGCAAGGGATTATGGGGTCATTAAATGATGATGATGATGATGAATACTTCAGTGAAGTAAGATGAAGTCTTCAAATTGTAGTAACATGGTTGTTACATAAATCTAGCTTCCCCGTTGACGTTACCTGTCAGAAGATCATAAAAGGTGGTCAAATGACCACAGGAGACTGCAACCATCATAAATAATGAGTCAATTTTGATTACATGACCCTGGAGATACTGTAACAGTTGTAAGTGTGGAAAATGGTCGTGTCACTTTTTTCAGTGCTGTTGTAGCTTCGAACCAGCACTAAATGAATGCTTTATAAGTTGAGGGTTACCTGTAGTTTACTTTTAAGTTCACTGTTTTTAAATACTGAATAATATTCCTTTTTCTCCCTAGCTGCAAGGGTTGAGCCATAATGTTATCTTCACCTTGGATTCTCTGTTGAAAGGAGATCTGAAAGGAATTAAAGGGGTAAGCCTACACATTTAATATGGGCTTTAATAACAGGTGGTGATTTCTGCGCTTTTGCTGTTATCTATCAATGTACCGGGGAGATTATCCCATTTGTATGAACTTCTGATTACATCTACTTGTAACTGCATACTTATCATTCCCATCAATCCATTTTTAAAAACAAAACAAAACTTGAGATATATGAGCTCTTAAAGATTCACCGGGGGAAAGATACTTAAAGCTTTTATGTCATTTTATAATCGTGGAATAATTCCTTCAGTGTGCACATTTAAACATAGCACTTCCATAAACTTATTTTAAGTTAATTTTCTCTCCCTTAAGGATCTGAAAAAGCCTTTTGATAAAGCCTGGAAGGATTATGAGACCAAATTGTAAGTATGGTTAACTTGGCTAAACAAACAATTGTGCTTAAAAGTCAAGAAGTTTATGGTACACAGCTTAGAGTCCCTCTTCAAGCAGAACGAGTGGGACGGAAATGTGAAAAATAAAGTAACCACCTGTCTTTCTATACAGGTAGTCCTCAACTTACGACCAGAATTGAGCCCAAAATTTAGGTGGCTAAAGTGAGACATTTGTTAAGTGAGTTTTGGCCCATTTTTTACGATCTTTCTTGCCACAGTGGTTAAGTAAATCTGGCTTCCCCACAGACTTAGCTTGTCATAAATATGAGTTGGTTGCCACACATCTGAATTTTGATCAGGTGACCGGGGGGGAACTGCCCTGGTTGTAAGAGTGAAAAATGGCTGTGAATCACTTTTTTAAGTGATGCTGTAATTTTGAAAGGTCACTAAGCAAGCAGTTGTAAGCCGAGGACTACCTGTACCTGAACTCTTTTCACATGTCTTATCACTTCATGTTTCATTGTATAAAAAAAATAAATATATATAACTCAGTCCCACTTAGGAATCTGTACCGTTACATCATGCAATCAGTGAATCATGTTACAATTTTTAAAAGCAATATGTAAATAAGGATTCAAAACATATTCCAGTTCTATTTTGGAACAGGATTGTTTCCAAAGTGAATTTCCTTATAATGCAGCGTAGATTGGAAAAAAAATCCTCAAATGCCAAGGTGCTATAAGAACTCAAATCGTTCTTGGCATGTTTATGTTGGATTTCTAAAATAACGGATTCCTCCTTCTGCTTTTTAGCACTTAGCAGCTTGCTCTTAAGGTGGAGAGCTATTTTGGTTTGGAATTTATTGTTTGGTGAAGTCTGATGAAATGGAAAAACACGAGAAATGTCATTGTTTCTATATTAGTGGACTCGGTTTGGGCCTGCTTGTGATTGTCAAGAAGTTTGACAGGTTTTGCCTTTGTGTGGGTTTGTTTTGCAATTTGACAGCACGAAAATTGAAAAGGAAAAAAGGGAACACGCCAAACAACATGGGATGATACGAACAGAGATCACTGGAGCTGAGATAGCAGAAGAAATGGAGAAAGAGAGAAGGCTGTTCCAACTCCAGATGTGTGAAGTAAGTCACGTTTTAAAATTTAAACGATTGAACATTAATAAAGGAGAATATCTGTAGCTCAGGGTTGACATGAGGGGTCCTTGGTGCTCTCTGAGCTTGCTTGTTTTCTTACAGACAGTTCATTACCCAAACTAGGTAACATCATCAGTGCTAAAACATCTGCAAGAAAACAAGTTCATAGAGCACCAAGGACCAGTCATGTTTAAATATTCTGTGATTAAACATTCTATAAATCTATTTATCCTGGCCACAATATATAAAACAACTTGAAATCTATGTTCTTGGTGCTATATAAACTTAGTTGTTTGCCTACAGATGTTTCATTACCAAACTAGGTAACATCATCAGGGCAAGTGAGTGTTTATATGTAGTAGCTTATTTGCCAGTTTTTGCAAGGTGTAATTTTATCCTTCCCGGTTCTTTGATTGGAGTATTGTTTTCTACCTGATCCTTTGTCTGGTATTAAGCCCTGCTTATCTGAATATTAGCTGCTGAAAATCTTCTAGTCTTTTTGTTTCCTTTC